ATCCTCAAAACAACATTAACTTAAATTCACCGACATCTATTACACCTTATGAGAATGCATGCTACGAGGGTCGCCCTACAAACTCGCATTTTGTAAGAGAAGGGCTTTTCTAAGGTCCATTAATTTCCATAAGTCAAAACCAAATTCATGACGAACGAAATTAATAGTCGGTATCCATTTGGCCATGCAATAGAATTCAGGGACCCCGAGGGGGGTTAATAAATTTAATCGCATTCTAAGTGAATCCCATTTCTCGGTCCTAAGGTCGTCAAATTTGATTATACGTCATCCGAGGGGAAGCCCGTATGCTCTCATAAGATTTCCTCTAATCGTCTACTTTTAAAAATTTGTCCTGGTAATTTCCTACAATTAATTTTAGCAATGTCACCCGAGGAGGAGCCCATTACCGCAATTAATTGATTTACCGACAAATTAGAAATGGTGGCCTTAGGAATTTTACAATTAACTTTAATTTAAAATCCCTTCTCAAACTTAATATAATTTAATGAGGATTTTTAACTATTTATACAATTCCAAATTAATCTATGTTAATGCAATAATTAATTAACATGCATATTAATTCATGCAATTCTAAATTAATCTATGTCAATGCAATAATTAATTAACATGTACAATAAATTATGAAATCCTAAATTAATCCATGACAGTGCAATAATTAATTACATGCATAATTTATTGACACAATTCTAAATTAATCATATGCATTACATAATTAATTAACATGCATAATTAATCTTGCAATACTAAATTAATCCCATGCAAGAACATAATTAATTAACATGCTTAAATAATAATTTAATGGCATAATAAATTTAACTAAATAAATAAATAAATCCACTATTATGGCCATTAAATATTGAGTCTCCTTAAACAAGGAAACTGTGACAGTTCTTTCCCTGTTCAACTGGAACTCCTTTAAGCAGTAGAATCCTGGTTGATCTTTTACTGCTTGGACATCAAGGCAAAAACGAACCACCAGCTGCCGCCACCAGTCCGCCGCCGTCGACCACCAGTCGCCGCCTACCAATTCGCCGGAAAAAGCCATTTTTTTTTTATTCTTCGAGGCTCGTTGATCTTCTTGTGGTCTCCCGGTCATCAACACACGATCACAACACGAAAAATATAATTTACAAAATTACATAATTCGATCCTAGATCCAACAAATGGATGTACATATTTTCTAAACAAATAATTAAATCTATCCGGTCAACCCCGGGCAAATAATTATTACAAACATTCATCCATAATTTCCTCGACATGTCCGAGGCCTTAAAAAACAAATTTAAAACATACATCACATCCAATAACATTGATCAAACACATAGTCGGCCATAATAGTGGATTAATCATTTATCCTGCAAAACCGAGTTATGCAAATATAATCCAATATATGGCTGCGTTTGAACACATCATGTTAAATAAAGCCGTAAAAATTCGAACTTTGTACAAAACGAATTAACCAAGTGCTCTGATACCACTTGTTGGTGCAAGTCACGAATTCAATAGCAAACGTAAACCTATGCGCAGCGGATCTAAATGTTTGACTTAGAGAACTTACGGCTTAAAATTTATGCAGATCTGGTTAACCATGAACGGTAGACCGCAATTGATTGACCGCAAATCACGTCTTGGGTTGCACGAACAAGATCAGATCAAAACCGGATCAAACGGATGCAAACAGATCAAAACGAAATTTTGCAGCCTGGGAGCTTCCGACGGCGCGTGAGGGCGCGATATCGGCAGCGATGGAAAGCTCTCGTCGAGACGGTCGTCTGGGTATGCTGTACGTCTCAATCGGACTTCCGGTTAGTTCTGTTGGTCAAAATATATTTCGTCTCGGTTTACCTACAAATCTTCTACTGTATTACTCAATACACCATTCTTCAACTTGTACCAGTGGAGCAACAAGAAGAAGATAAAGCTCGAATGAGATCTAGAGAGAGAGAGGCGTGTGAAGCGTGTATCTCGTGTGAATGAGACTCGTGTGAATGAGACTTCTGTTCTCTTCTAATGAGCTTAATGATGTATATATAGAGCTACAGTAGGGACCATTAGGAGATTAGGAAAAGGACTCCTTAATTAATTAGACTAACTGTGAGCCAAGCTCACTCCTCTAATTAATTAAATAATATTAATGGACCACCAACATTATATTATTGCACTCCCTTTTCCTAGCCCAAATTACATTTGAGACTCCAATAATAATTATTCGATTTACCTCCCCACGTGTAAGATATAATGTCCATTAATTAATTCGATTACTGACAATCAAGAATTAATTAATTTATTATTATTTCATCGAAGCTACCGCTCATCCATCACATTCTTATTATGCCGGAACTTAATCCACCTGCAGGGTTTAGCATAACAATCCTTCATGAACTCACTCCGGGGATATCATCAAACTAACGCACATGGTGACCGTAAATATCCTAACAGCACATTCTATACATAATAATATTACCCAAAACAGTAGGAATATTAATCGAGCGAACTGAACATCACCCATGTGAATCAAAGTAATATATATTATATATATATGCCTGTTTAATATCTTACGGGTTAAGAGAACGCAGTAATTAACCGAGGCCTAGTTCATTTACGGCGATCAGTATAAAATGAACTTCTCCTCTCTGGGGTCCTGTTCAATACATAAATGTATTAGTGCAACTAATCAGTCAAGACAAACTGTACAGTTGACACTACAACCGTTCGGATGGGGTGTTCATGTCCATCTAGGTTGTGAACAACTATTCTTGTTCGCAAGTGACTGATAGAGTGATCTTCGGTTCACCCGATGGCGACCCACCCTATCTAAGTGCAGAACAACAGAACGTAGAACTTGTTTAATCTAACATGATTCTCATTCATAAAGGGTAAATGTGTAATAACATGCAAAGCCAAGCTTTCAGTATATAACACTAACATGTAGGTCGCCAAGAAGATCATCAATCCCAAGTGTTTGAACTCTTTGGAAACTCTTCAAAGCCGTGATCATAATTCCAAACCTATCCGGTAAGGTTCTCATCAACTTCTGCACTTGTCTCGCCTCTGATATCTCTTCACCAAGCATTGCACTTTGGTTTATAAGGTCACAGAAGCGAGCATGGTACATGTCTATTGTTTCATCATCTCTCATCCGGATCTCATCAAGTTCAGTCGTGATCCTCTGAAGCTTCGAGGATTTCACAGCGTTCGTACCTTCAAACTGCCTCTAAAGAATCTTCCATGCGTCGCAAGCTGTGGTGCACTGAATAATCATCTCATGGCGAGTTGGATCCACAGCAGACATGATAGCATATAATGCACGAAAGTTTGCTTCTTCTGCTTGTCTTTCCACATCAGTCCAAAGATCCCTTAGTTTCTCGACTAGAACATGAGCAGCCGAGGTTGATGACTTTGATTCCGAGGGAGCTTTCAGCATGAGTGCTGTGGTCCAGCCTGACTCAATGACTTGTCAGGTTCCTTTACCCAAAGAGCGAATAAATATCACCATCATGGATTTCCAGTATCCATAGTTAGAACCGTCGAGGTACGAAGGGCGCGAAACGGACATGCCGTCGTAAATCATGGTGACCAATCCAAGGACCCAAAGATCTTTATCCTGTAAGTAGAACAGGAACACTGCTCTGGTGCCAAATGAAACGTAGGTATTTTACGATAAGTGCGCTCAACGTTGTTAGAACACAAATAAACAACTAGAATAGCGAAAGCAATAAACTGAAGATTTTAAAAACTTTTCAGGGAAGCGTCCTACTTCCCCTCAGAGAGCTCTTTCATTGAAAACTCGATTGTGCACATGCGTATAGTTTTGGAACTACAGCAACTAGAACTCCCTTCTAGCCTAACCAACAAATATACTCGAATCTACCAACTACTTCTCCGGCCACGTCCCATGGACTTTAACTCTCGAATCCCTCGAGCTAAAAACAGCACTTAATCCCTAAGTAATGATCACAAAAGTAATGATCACAAAAGAATCAAAACAAAAGGCTTCAGTTTTTCAATGTCATAAGAACACTGAAAACTGAACAATGAAAATAAAACCTAAAAAGGCTTGAAGCTCGAATATTAAATGGAAGATAATGATTTCAGCAGCCTTCATTCGATCTTCAAGTAGGGTATATATACAACTTCTTAGGCTTGGAGTCTTCTCCAAGTTCTTTCCTTCTTTCACGATCTCCTTTGATCTTCTTCCCAAAAATAGTGTAGTAACATGGAAAGTAAATCTTTCTTGATGTAGAATTCGTGTATGTGATTTGGAGATCTTCATGATTGAGTTTCCAATGAAAATCTCGTGTTTCCAGACTCTTGTAAGAACATGACTTTCCTAAAATAGCCGATCTTCCAAATCTTCAAAGATCTTGTGGTGAATCTTTTCAAATCCTCCTTAGATCTTCTAGAGAACGTCCAGAATTCCTCTTGTGTGAATATCTCATCTTTTCATAGCCCTTTCCACCTATTCCTTGTCCTACAAGAAGAAGAAAACTAATTATGGCATAGAAAACTTCCCTTAAATTTATTTTGCTTGCCTAACGAAATCTTCTAGAAAACACTTAGGTTTTTCGGACGATGCCAAACCAATTTTCTTACAGAAGCATATCGATAGGCTCGATGCTCAAACATTCAATGTGAATATTGCCCTCTTGGTTTTGTCCACGCTTGAAGATGGCTAATTGACGAGACTACTTCGGACATGCGAGATGATTCAATTGCACCTCATTTTCCAAAAAATTGTTATATATGTTGCCATGCTAGTGTTAAATAATAATAATAATAATAATAATAATAATAATAATAATAATACCACTACTGATTAGAATGTATTACAAATACTATTTGCCAGATACCGTTTAGTCTGGACGTATAGCTGATTCGTCAGGACTCGATGTCTATACGAAGAAAATTACTTGAAACCGTAAAAAGAGACTTGTATTTTCTTCTTTTTCTTTCTCTGATAAGAGAATTTTTAAGTGCATCACAATTATCTCATGACACGATTTCCGCATGGTGATGAGGGAGACGGGACTTGCTGTTGAATATGGTTTGTATGTACAATATTTGAGTGCCGACAAGATTTGAGTAGAGAATGCACATGAGTAAAATTAAAAATGAACGATTAAAAACACTATTAGTATCTAATGTATTCATAAGGAAATTACCACTAGTTACCTTAGAGTAGTTTTGGCAACTCAAAATCTCAAAAGGCATAACGAGACAAAGTATCATCTATATGATGCCAGAGGTACACGATCATGTGGCATACTCAAATCATCTTTACCTAAAATTTTACAGCCTAATCTTTTCTGATGGATATATCCCTTTCACAACATTCTTCTTTTGCCGGTTAGCTGATGACGACTTTGACTCGTTGTAGTTCAAAACCTGACCATACTGCTGCTTACTTTCTCGACCATTATTCCCTTTGCTTTTTCGTCTGTGATGAAATTGCGAATCAGTGAGTTGCGTTTTCAATGTACCATGTAAAAAAGCATATTAAGGACACAAAATCACTTGTACCTGATATGGAGCAAGAGGAATAAGATACCGGCAATGGCTGTGCCTTTGACAACTGTTCTCAACAATGGTCTGCGGCCGTGCTTTTTCATTCCATTTGCAATATATTTATCCTTGAGTACAAACAAAGGAGGAAAGCATGGATTATTAGAAAAAAAAAAAAATGAATTATTTGACAGGATATGTTTTTTTGCAAGGCAATTTCTAGGGATAATAATCACCTGACCGCCATTTTCAGGTGCCATTGGAAATGGAATATCATCTTTGATGTTTTGGGCTACAGCAATGTCTTCTTGAGCTCCGTTCACGTCTTTGATTGGAAAACACGTAAGATGTACCGAAATTGTTTCACATAGGTTTTCTTGAACAACAGTATCTTGTTCGTTCTTACACTGTTCTTGACATCTCTCACTGCCCTCAACCGATTTGCTATCGCATGAAAATTTTAAAAAATTAGATTTCTCATCTGAAACATGACAGCCAAAATCAGGTGAAGCACCATTATCCCCACACTGCCAATGATCCGAATCTGAATCTGAACTGAGCAAGCTATATTTAAGATTCTCATTGTCCAAATCTTCACAGGAAATACGAGTCTCTTTATTACTGACCTCAACAAATATATCCTTCTTCTCAGACGCTTCACCAGAATCAAAAACTACAGCTTGATAATTCGACTTATTTAAGTCCACATTTTTGGGTTTGGATAATACAAACTTATCTTTGAACTGCTTCTCAGCCTCATGTTCCCTGTTTGTACTTAACGAGTCATCCTCATCAAACTGGTCCTCAAACTCCAAATTAAGCAATCGGCCTAAAATGGAGCTCATGCTAGTTGTTGAAGATATTTCCGTATCTTCATCTCCATTCTGAAAGGTCTTTTTATTCGAAGCGACTACTTGAGAGTCAACTTTAAGAAAGAAATCAAACATGTTATTTTCCCCATTACGAATAACAGAACTGCTGCCCTCAGTAGTTGCATGGACCATTAAGTCCGAAAAGGCCAGGTAATCCGAAATGTAATTACTTTCTCCAACATCAAGACATGAAGAATCTCCAACGACTGAGTAGTCATTGTCTAAAGTGCTCTCAGTACAATATTCAGGGTTATGTCTTTCTAAATGTGAGATAGCACCACAAGCAGACATTTTATCAAGTTTGTGATCATTCTCAAGTTCGGGTGAATTTTCTGGGTCGGAATTAAGTCCATGAGTATAATCAAATTTTCCCACAGATGGGAATGAATTTTCGCCCATATATCTGCTTTCGGCCTCATCTGACTCATCAGAGCTACTGTAATCATCATCTCCTTCATTAGACGGAGGTTGAAACTTTTTCTATATCAAAGCACGGGCAACAAGAAATTAATCAGTGACATGACATTGTCATCTAATTTGGAGGAAAAAACAAATTTTCTAAGTCAATAATATTTTTTTTTAAAAAAAAAAAATCATTTTCAGTAGTGGGGAAAAAATGAGATGGCTCACCTGTTTCGCCTTGGTTTGTGAAACATTGCGCGAACTGTAACTGGATGAACTTGAAACTGTGCACTGTGATGATTCCAAACTTTTCCGAATGATATCAACCATATTCTTTGGCATGGTCACTGAGTATACAACCATGTCAAAGTCTGGAACCTGGTTCGAGGTCAATAAATGTTTATCAGTGACCCAAATTGCAGAATCTGGACCAAAAGGTTCAACAATTATGTAAAACCATTTGTGCTGGATAAAGTTCTTACACTTAGTTGTTTTGACCTGGCTTTCATTGAAAGTGCTCTTATGCAGATGCAAACTTTTCGAATATTTCTTTTCTCAACCACATCCGATGGGGAAAAGAGGTCAATGCCACCCAACCCCATAATTTTGCATATCTAACAAAACAGAACCAGTAAGATTAGAATCCCAGCTGATAAAGTCGAGTCGAGTTTATTGAGATGACACTTACAAATTAATGTTTACCAATGAAAGGGCATGTGCCGTTTTCTTTACATAATGCATACAAAAGGGAAAGAGAAATAGCAATATTTTCCAGGAGGAAAATAGCATCTAGCAGTTTAGAGTTCATAGGCACCAAATAGACAAATCAAATGCGCAAATCCAAAGTTTTATTGGAGAATTCAAATATGGTGCATTACCTTTATAAAGGAATCGACATTGGAGTAAGGCCTGTATCTCCCGCTGCTCTTTCTAGAACCAAAAGGCCCGTATTTGTGCTTCAAATGTCTCAGCTCCATGCATTTTACCAGCAACAGATTCCACACTACTTTAGAAACGTCAAACCTAAAATGCCAATGATGTCAAGTAAACAAACATGTCAGTGGATAAAATAAAAAGGTTTCTTCAAAAAATTTGACCAACATGGTAGTAAATTTCTAGACCATTTATGAACTACGGAAGCAAGAATTTGCTCATTTCCAACATATCGATTTACTTCACCACTAGTAACAGTGCCACACAGTGATCTTCCAAGGCAGACACATAAGTGACTAAAAAAATTGTCCCGAAGAAGAATATAAAATGGTATGCCTTAGCTCAATTAATCTTACCTTTTTCATTCTCTCTATAGTAATGTCTGTTTGGGTTTCAGTAGGATTGTTTTTACACTCACTAGAGAAAACAACAATAACTAGTATATTACTATCATTCAGAAATATGAGAAATCCACATTCAAGATCCTCACACCCCACCAAATAAAGTACTTGCCTGAAATTAGATATAATGCACCAAAACATCAGAATTAATCAAAAGCTCAAAATATGAAAAGTAAAGGAACAAAAATCATAATAAATAACGAAATTGAAGAACTCACAGTATCTCCCCATCTTGAAGCAAATCGGAGAGATTCAATTCCTCCTCAAATCTTGTGCACAGAACTTCCCCAAGCCATATTCTAGTCTGAGTCTGAAACCCATAGCCAAAGTTCAACATAATCAAAACAGCTTCTAGACTTATAAATATGTACAAGAATGTGTGTGGTGTGTGTAAAAAAGGGGGACCTGCAAGAAAACTTCATCGAGCTCCCGGAAGCTGGACTCCGCCGACGGCGGAGATAAATCAATCATCCTCAGATTTCCCGCCTAAAATCACTCATGAAAATCACTCATAAAAAAGATTAAAGATTGAAACTGGAGAACTCTAGGAACTAGAAAGCAAGAGAAACTATAGGCGGCGGGCGGGTTTGTACAACTATTGGTTGAAGAAATTAAAACAGAGTGGTAAAAAGGAATCTTGAAAATTATTGTTTTCAAGTTTACGAGGTAAGAACAGTGGCCGCGTGGTAGTGTTGTTTCGTTTTCTTATTTATTATGTCCGTGAGATTTTTATTTTCTTTCTTTTTTTAAAAAAAATTTTTTTCGGTGGATGATATTTGAGTCTTTAATTTATTTATTTTTCATGGAAATTGTATTTTTGGTTTTTCTGAGGTTTATAGAGACAGGCGGGCAAAAAAGACAAGCTCCGAATTATGGCGATCACTTTTTGTATTTTTTAAGTCCATGCTTCGATTAATATAAGTTTTATAAATAAATCAAATCAAAACTTAAACGGTAAATTCTACGTAATCCACACTCCTCTTTTCATCTTCCAAGTCAGTTTTTCTCTTAATTTTTTTCTTTTGCACACCCTTTCACTAATTTCTCTTTCCAATTCACTCCTCATATATATAGTAATGTTATTATTATTCATTTATTTTGCCTTAATATCTGAAAATTTCAAGTCTCTCTCTCTCTCTCCTCGTTCGTTGTCATCTCTCATCGCCATCTCTGCGCTCTCTCTGTTCGTCCGTCGCCATCCATCTCTGCCATCTCTCTCTGTTCGTTCGTCGCCATCGCCATCTATGCCCTCTCTCTCTCCTCGGTCTTATTGTTCATCGTTCATCACCATCGCCATCTTCGTCTCTCTCTCCGTCTCTCGCCATTCGTCTCTCTGTGAAGCAATGGTCGGCTCCAAAAAGAAATCTCCATGCAAGCCGTCCTCCTCCTCGATACCCACGAAGGCATTAACAAGAGCAAGGGTAATTTCTGATCTTTGGGCTTTGTTCCTATCTTTAGGTTTTTTTCCAATTTAGGGTTTGAATTCAAAAATAGGGTTTTTTTCAATTTAGGGCTTGAATTCGAAATTAGGGTCTTTTTGTGTAATTGAATTTCTGTGAATTTCTCAGTAATTAGGGCTTTTCTGTAATTGAATTTATGTGAATTTCATAATTTTAGGACTTAAATTCAAATAATTTAGGTTGTAATTGAATTTATGTGAATTTCTGTAAATGAATTTCTGAGAACATTATATTCTTTTAGCATTTTCATATAAAGAAATAATCTATATTGTATTAAATGTTCTGAAACTTGTACATATAACATCATTTTCCTCACAATTCTACTGATGCAATATCAATTATCTAAAGACATTCGATATGGTTAAATAAATTGAATTTATATAAGAAGGGGGTATAAAAGTATATTAATATTCTGAAATTTACTATAAGGTTCCTTTCTTCACCATCTTAGCTATGCAAAGCACCAAATATTTAACTAAGATTGATACGGAATAACATTAGATAATCAGATAGTTTTGTTATTTTGAACTTAAAAACAATACTTATATTTGTAAATGGTGAAGAATATCTGTAATTGAATTTTTGTGAATTTTTTTTTGTTTCTTATGTTTGAAAATTCTCTTAGTTTTATTTGTTTGTGATAGGGCACAGAACAAAGATGTAGGTGTGCCCCTTCATACTTCAAAGATGTGATGGACAGAACGGTTGGTGTACTATCGGACAAGCACAAGCAGGCTCTTGAAAAGAGTCCTTTTATTTTTTTGTGAATATGCCCGATTTAGCAGTCTTACATAGTAGAGTTGAGGCTCTAGTTAGCACGTATAGGGTACACTTGAATGAGTTTGTTCTTGGTGATAATTTGTTTCTTAATTTCAACCCTGCCGAGTTTTGTATAACTATGGGGCTACGACAGGGGGGGTCTAAACGTAGACTTAGACCTTTCTTTATAATCGAAAGCCTTATTTGACGGCTGGGGTCGAGTAGGTAAAAAACTGTTGAAAAGAAAGCATGTCGTAGATCTGTTAGAAAAGTTTGCTGTTGATGAAGGTCGTGTAGACGGCGTCATCAGGATGTATAGTTTGCTAGTTTCATTGTTCGAGTTATTCCATCCCCAGGTTTGTGTACCCTTACCTGGAATATGTGAGTCAAATTTATGAGTATGCATGGGGAGATGCAGAAAACATATTACCATCGTTGAACAAGCTATACATGTTTGTTTTGTGGATTTCCACGAAACAGCTTCTCCTTCAATACAGAAAACATATCCGCTAGTAGACCCTTCAAGTACAGATGGATATCTCGAGTATTTTAGTCCGTATTCAAGGGTGTACCTCAAGTACTTAAGTACCCTTCTCAAAGCATTCCAGTGCTCATGACTGGGATTGCCCGGGAATCTGCTCACCTTACTCACCGGATAAGCCAAGTCTGGTCGTGTACAATTCGTCAAGTACATTAGACTCCCTATTATCCGGGAATATTCTAACTGAGCCACTGGTTGACCTTTATTGTCTACCAGATTTATACTAAGGGGTGTCTTACACATATGCCTAGACTGTGCACCGTCATAGGCATCAAATTTCTTGAGCACTTTCTCTACATAATGAGATTGTGATAAGACAATTCCATCATGGGTTCTGATAATTCTTATTCCAAGAATAACATCACCCAAACCCATATCTTTCATGTCGAAATTTCTTTTCAACATTCCTTTCGTATCCATGATCACTTCATGGCTACTCCCCATGATCAACATATCGTCTACATATAGACATACAATCACAAATTTATTTGATGTACTCTTGACATAAACACATTTGTCACATTCGTTGATTTTGAACTCATTTGACAACAGCACGTCATCAAATTTTAAATGCCATTGTTTCGGAGCTTGTTTCAGTCCGTACAAGGATTTGATCAATCTACACACCTTTCTCTCTTGTCCAGGTGCAACAAACCCTTCAGGTTGTTCCATGTATATTTCTTCTTCCAATTCACCATTCAAAAATGCCGTCTTAACATCCATTTGGTGAATCTCAAGATTGTGCAAAGCAGCAATCGAGAGGCTTTTATCGACGCTAAACGCGTAACTGGTGAATAGGTATCAAGAAATCATACCATTCTTTTTGTTTAAAGCCTTTGACCACCAATCTTGCTTTAAACTTATCAATCGGTCCATCAGCTTTTTATATCCTCTTTAGGATCCACTTTCATCCTAAAGGTTTACAACCATCAGGAAGATCAACCAACTCCCAAGTATGGTTCTGCATAATGGACTCGATTTTGCTATTTACAGCTTTTCCCAGAGTGGTCCATCTGGGCTGGACAGAGCTTCCTTAATGGAACTCGGTTCATTGTCCAACATGTACGTAATAAAATCAGGTCCAAACGTTTTCACCGTTTTTACCCTTTTCCTACGTCTCGGTTCTTCATTAGTACCCTCTGGTATAGAACCACTAGCAGTTTCATACGTTCGTTTATTAGAACTAGATTCTGCCCTTTCCTTCATAGGAAAAACATTCTCAAAGAATATAGCATTCCTTGACTCAATCGTGGTACCAACAGATACCTCTGGATTTTCTGATTTATGAACCAGAAATCTATATGCCATACTATTGTACGCATATCCAATAAATACACAATCGACCATCTTTGGCCCCATGCGCATTTGTTTTGGTTCAGGTACTGAAACCTTAGCCAAACACCCCCACACTTTCAGGTATTTATAAGATGGCTTACGATTTCTCCACAATTCGTAAGGAGTCTTATCTTTCCCTTTAGGTGGTATTTTATTCAGGATATGATTTGCTGTTAAAACAGCTTCCCCCCACATGTTTTGGGGTAATCCTAAATTTATCAACATGACATTCATCATTTCTTTTAAAGTACGGTTCTTGCGTTCAGCAACACCGTTCGACTGTGGAGAATAAGGGCCGTCGTTTGATGAATTATACCATATTCAGAACATATTTGTTCAAAAGGAGCTACATACTCCCCACCCCTATCACTTCAGATTATTTTAATCCTCTTGTCGAGTTGATTTTCAACATCGGTCTTATAGATTTTAAAAGCTTCCACAGCCTCGTCTTTGCTTCTTAACAAATATAAGTAGCAAAACCTTGTGCAATCATCAATAAAAGTTACAAAATACTTTCTACCGGTTCTGGTTTGCACACTTTTCATATCACATACATCAGTATGGATCAAGCCTAATGATTCAGTGCTCCTTTCCACTGGAAGAAAAGGCAACTTAGCCATTTTTGCTTCAACACATATTTCACATTTCTTATATGATTCAATTTTAGAATTAGGAATTAATTCTAAATTCATCAACCGTTTAATCACATTTAGATTTACATGTCCCAATCTAACATGTCATAAATCACAACACTCAACTGTATAAACAGAAATAGGCTTTTCATTCTCATTAGAAACGATTACACTGCTCACAACCATTACATTCATTTTGAACAAGCCCTTGTCGATATATCCACGACCAAGGAATGTTCCAAACTTACTAAGAACAAACTTCTTAGCGTCAAACACAAGCCTAAATCCATGCTCAACAAGAAGAGATCCAGAGACCAAATTCTTGCGGATGTCTGGGACATGCAGATCATCCTTAAGCTTTAACTCCTTTCCAGAAGTCAGCTTCAGCACCACAGTGCCCACTCCAGCCACACAGCCATGGAGGAGTTTGCCATGTGAAGTTTCCGACTCGTAGCAGGAGTGTATTCAGAAAATACCTCCTTGTCGGAACACACATGATGAGTGGCACCAGTATCGATGAACCACTCCCTTGGGTTATCCACCAAATTGGCTTCAAACACCACAACCGACATATCAAAGTCGGTCAGTTCACCCGACACAAGGCCGTGTTCAGCCACTAGGGCACTCGGTTTACCTTTCTTTGGCACAACCTTCTTTGGCCTCTTGCAGTCTTTCGCCATATGGTTTGGCTTTCCACAGTTGTAGCAAGTACCTGTAAATTTCCAAACCTTACCTGGCTGCTTCCCTTTGTCCAGGGACTTTCTCTTGCTCGAGTTACCTTGTTCCAGCAAATTTGTACGAGCCTCCATCATTTGAGCTTTTCCAGATGAATTCCGATTGTCCTCCTCAATACGAAGATGAACAACAAGGTCTTCAAGAATCATCTCCTTCCTCTTATGCTTGAGGTAGTTCTTGAAGTCTTTCCAATCCGGTGACAGTTTCTCAATCACAGCCG